TTTAAGATCTATCCAGAGGACAAGCAAATCTGATAATAGACTTCTAACAGTTATAACTCTTAAACCATTCGGCCTATGACTATGAAATTTTAGGACAAGCAAGATGAGTAAGTTATCTACAACTTTGTTATTGACAAGTTTTGTAGAAAAGATCATTATCATCATGAATTTGTCAACACAACAGAAACTACTCATGCAACCATTTAGTTGAATTATATGGAATAATTATCTAGCTGCCAATCATCAATTACTTCTAAGCACAACTATTTATCTCAACAAATCATATGCATCATAAGCACCACAGAAACATCATGGTTAAGCCCAACTAATTTATTTATATACATTTATTAATTTCCTTATATAATAGGGTGATTTAGAAGATAAATACTTCTAGTGCACAATAAATTCTGAGAAAATTATAGTAGCTTACATATGACCCCAAAAGTCAAATGCACAAATTTCATGCCATGTGGATAAGTATAGCAACCTCTACAAAAATAACAAATTACATAGGCTTATTTTAGCAAAAATAGTTTAGCCTAGTGAAAAGTGTCAAATAACAGATTTCATATTTTTCTTACTTTCATCCTAGCATAAGAACACAGTGTAAATATTTGCATGATCATATGTTATATATTTTTATCCCATTTATTTTCACTATAAACTAGCAAATAATCAAGTTTAAAAAGGAAAACCATATTTCAAGTATGTCTTCTGTAGGTTTAGCATTTTCCTAGCTAGATCATGTCAACATAAGACTAGCAAAATTGAAATCACAATTTTTACACTTCCTTGGCTCAAGATATGCATTTTACAAGATAGAAACAAATTGAAAAGCACTTATTTAGCTCAATTTAATTCCCCTAGAAAAATATCCCAAACAGTAGGTTTCATATTTTTATCAAATAGTACACTTCATGAAGAATCCAATAAAATTTGGATCACCCCATTTGGACACTCCTAACTCCAGATATGATTTTTGTAAATTTGCTACAAAATCTGGAAAAACAAATAAAGAAAAATCAAATTTTAAATCAGGCCCAGCAGCTAGGTGCACCCGGTCTAGTGCAACCGGAGGCGCTGATAGCGAGGGCATGCAGTCAACATGACCCCACATGTCATACACACAAAAGCAGGGCGACGCTTTGACTGGCCATAGCTTGTCGACGATGAGGTCTCCGGCGGTACGATCACCACCGTTAGCTTCGCCCCAACATCCCGCATCGAATGAGGTAGGTCGTCGAACCTCTAACAGCGGTTGGCTACGACAGCGACACTAATGGCGGCTCGGCGGAGGAGCGCGGCGGCGGACTCATTGTCTCTGGCTAAGATGTGACCAAGTAAGCACGGCTACGACTTCTACAAACCCTAGCGGAGCTCTACGGTGCGGATCGAGCCACGGTGAAGCGACGATGAGCTCCGGCCACGTGCATGCGGCACGGCGACACATAGCGCATGTGGCGACACTTGCCATTCCGACGAGATGGTGGTTGGTGATGGGTCTCCATCTTTGGTGATGGTGCTAGGGTTCAAGGCCATACGGAAAAACACTCTAAAGGGGGACGATGGGGTCTAGTCGGTGCCAGATGCGATGAGCTTGAGCTCGCGGCCATGGCGGGCGTGCATGGTGCAGTCGCACGTTCCTGTGCGATAGCAGCGGTAGCGGTTAAACCGACTACGACGTGAGCTATTGAGACCTAAGACGACGATGGACCAGGGGAGAAAGAGGTAGGATGAGTGGTAGATAAGGCTGGCCACGGTGAGCTCGGAGCTCGGCGGCTCTTCGTGGCCATGGTGGCACTGGCGACATGAAATGTCGCATTACTTGGGCTCGAATGGTGGTAATTACGGGTCGGGGAGGTGGAGTGGCTCACGGTGAAGCTATGCACGTGATGTATTGGATGGAGGTGCGGTGGTGGTGGTGCGTGAGTGCGGCGGAGGTGTGCGGCGGCGATGGCAAGCATGGCTCTACTCGGTGAGCTAGCGAGAGGGAGAGAGCAGAGCGAGAGAGTGAGAATGAGCGAGCGCAGCGGCTTCGCCTCCCTTTTCTCCCCCTGCTGGCCTGACCGGCCGGGCCGACGCCGGCGAGTGGCCACCACGTGGCACGCACGGCCTGGCGTCGATCGGCCACTGCTGCGCTGCTGCTTCTCGGTTTCAGGCCAACGATGGCCGACTGATGGAGCAACTTTAAGCACATGTAACTCCCAAACGAGCTCGAGTTGGTGAAAAACCTCTTAATAGGAAATGTAGAGCTACATGTACCCTCCAACTTTGCTTTAGAAAGCTTCCTCTAATTCGCCATGGTTTTTAAACTACAATGCTCCAAAGTAAGCTACTTTGAAACAGAAAATCAGCTTTAGACTTAGCAAAATTTCTAAGTCCCTAAACAACATTTGATTGCTACTTTGGATCTATTTTTGACTTTGTTAGGCACTGAATTTGTTCATGACCCTTGAATAAAGTTTGTTACCCATACTAAGAACTACAACTTTTATTAAGGGTGCACTGCCATGCAAATACCCTATGCTATAGTTCAACTTTGGTCAAACTAGCATCATGAAAATAACATTTTGAGTAAACTAGGACTTAGAAGCAAAATTGGCCCATGTCATGAATATAAACATTGTTCCATTTACCATACTAGATATGTCTAAGGTGTTTTTGTGACCTCATAACCATTTCTCAGATTGGTCACACCTGATCACAAGCATATGTAAGTATATATGCAACATCACATGTGATAAAGAGAAGGTGAATGAAATAAAACTTCACATGCTCATGCTCATGAATGTTTGGATGATGTTTGTGCTCATCAAATGCAAGTGCCAAATGCATGCTTAACACTAGGGTGTTACAGGGAGAAACTGCATGGAGCAGATCCCGAGCTCTCCCTGGGCTTAGGGAAACACATGACCGGATGGTCGTGACCTGAGGTGTGCTATTCAATTTGACCCTGTAATTGACAAGGAGAAAGGATTGATCAGTAATTTAAGGTGGAACATGCCGGTGTTGTTCCAGACAGTTCCAAATGTGTGGCTAAGTAGCCGATGCGATAAGGCTATTGACTAAAGAGTTGATATCCAGCATGTTCATGATGCAAAGCGAATAAAATAAGCATGTCGGTAGTTATCAGGTATTTAATTATATAAATCTTAACACCCAATGTGTTCTCAGTAAACATGTTATCGGCTAAAATAGTCGATTCTTAGTGAAAGTGAACTCATAACATGCAAGCAATTAATTGTTTAATATAAACAAACCTATAAACTCATCGAACCTAATCCATCATCATTAATAGTGGGGTTCGACCAGATCGATGGCAGCCATAATAATGATAACAGATTAAACTCTTAAAGTGAACAGATCTACTCACATTTCAATAGGATCATGAATGCATATTATGAACGTGAAAATACAGACAATTGGCTAAATAGCCGATGCAAACATAGACAAAGGCCATAACGTATGAGCAGTCAACTATTAAACATGAACAAATCCATAAACCTATCTAATCTAACTTATTATCTCTAAAAGTGGGGTTCGATCGGATCGATGACAGCCATAATAAAGATAACAGGTTAAACCTTCAAGGAAAACGAGTCTATTCATACTTAATGGGATCATGAAAACACATCATGATAGTGAAAAAGCGCGGGCTATTGGCTAAATAGCTGATGCAAACATAGCATGCAGTCAGGGGCTATGTTTGACTGTAAGCAAACTTGTTACTTGATAATTTCTAATCTATAGTACTAACAGTGGGGGTCGATCGGATCGATGATAGTCATAATAGCAGTTCTAGACTAGATCTCATAAACTACCAAGCTTACTTAAGATCAAACACGCCTTGACCACATGCTATCTTCGATCAAGATTGGACTAAAACGACTAATCTAGTCGAAACCATCATCAAAGTGAGATCTAAGCAGGATAAAGCAACAAGACGATAGTTTGATAAGATATAAAGCCGATATGTTTCAATCTTAATAGGGTAAGAGGTGATGTTGTTACAAATAGTAAGAATATTAATTATAACAATATTGATAACTAGCAAATCTACTAAAACAGCAAGGAAACCCTACCAATCTTAATAGATTTAACCGATAACTAATCTGTATCAAAATTTGTACGAGGTCGGCCGGACCAATGCAGCCTTACAATTACTGGTAGAAGTTGATAACTAACTTATACAAAGCTTACAAGAGGTCAGCCGGACCGATGCAGCCTTATAAACAAAGTATAAGTCGTGACGGTACTAACAAACAAACCGGAGTCGGCCGAACCGATGCAATCCTGCTTGCCCGAAGAACTCGCCGAGATCTACTCTACTCCTACTCCTAGGGTTGGCGTAAGCCGAAAAGTAAAGGTACTGATTTGATTGATCCATGAGAGGTGTCTATTACAATAGCCGGGGTTCAATATTTATACCCGAGGCTTGACTACGAGTCCAGGTCGAACAAGACCGGTTACAAAATTCGTAAAAGAAGACAAGCATCCTAAATTAAGATAACTTGGACTCTAATTTTTTCCTTCTATGGAGTCCACCATGTCTTCCTATTTCTGATCACCGGCATCTTCCATTAGCACGGCCCATTCTTGAGACGATGATGTCATAAAATTCAGCCGATCCTAACACCGTTTTGGCTAGCTAATTCTACAGACACTTCGGCCTTCCTTAACAAATGTCTAAATCCAAGGGTCCTATGTACTGACCTAATTTTTGTGTCAACAATTCACTTTTCCATGGTTGGGACTAGTGTCAAAGAAAAGAATGATTAAAGACGACAAGTGATAAATAAATGGTATAGCTCCGTTTATTAAAAAGCAAGAAGTGAAAAAGAATATAGCTGTCGGTCCAGAGGAAACAATATAAGTAGAAGTGTTTAAAGAGTTCCATATTAGCAATAGCATCATCAACAATTCAACATAAAATTCAAGGTAAAAAAGGAGCACCATATTTCAATATAGTCAAACACTTTGTAAATAAATCCAAAATAACCATGACCAGTCGGATCGTAAGACCTATGAGTGTGTTTGGTTTGCTGTGTAGGGGCCTGACCAGGCTTGCGCAATGCAAAAAATCACGTGTTGTTTCCTGGGTAGGGGTCTAAGCCTGGCCCAAGCAATGCAAAAGGGAGCCCATGGTCTGGCTTCCTGGAAACGCACCCCCGGGCCGTTTCCAACAAGCCTGGCTTCTTCTAGCGCCGTGCGGCTTTTTGCTGTGGGACCGGCTGGCCGCGCATGGCCACCGAACAAAACCGCGGCTCGGTTAGGGTCACCGCTACCTGGTACTGCATCCTTTGATTTTGGACCTGAAGTTCATGCTACCTGGTACTGCATCCTTTGATTTCACATCGTTTGATTAGGGGATTTTGAGTGGTGCATCCATTGATGGGGTGTATGAGAATTGGATGGATTGTCATGCACAGGTCACCGGCTTCCCAAACAATTTGTACCGAGGATACAATTCCTGGGAGGAAGCTGATCATGCTTGGAAAAGGTACACTCATGAACAGAAGCAAGCCATGGACAAGCAATGAATGGGCAAGTTGGAAAGAAGCCAACAGGAAGAGTAGAAGGAAGGGATGTTGAATAAGTAAAGAAAGAGTAGAATGAAGGGATGTTGAATAAGTAAAGAAGTGTTGTACCGAAGATCTCATTGGCCATGTTCGCTTCTCTTATAATCCATCTTTTTCAGCTTGTTTTTTCAACTGGAACATTGTTTTTCTCCCACAACAAATCAACCGGAACAATGTTTCGGTTTGTTTTTTCAATGAAGCGAACATGACTATTATTGTTGTATTAGCAATAGCCGTGTTAGTTCAAGCTTGCCTTTTGTGGCTTAAGTAGAGTAACTGGGGCATATCAAGCTATTACCTGCATCTGCTGTCATCGTATTCGGGAACATGGAATGTAGACTTAACAATTTGTTGTACCGGATATCTATTACTACTTGCATTTGCTATTACTTCAAGTGTGTGTTTGAGTTCCAGGGGATAGCTATTGGGGGTGGTAAGGTCACCACACCGAGGGCATGGTGAGACCAACAGACGGAAAACAGGCATCCAAACAGCATACCCATTTCTTAACTAGTACAGTACCAAACAAAACCTTACTCTGGCCTGAGTACAACAAGATGGCAAACCAAACAACCACAACTTGCATTGCATATGCCCCCTACCCTGGCTTATCTCCCTAGCCCTGGCCAAAAGAAGCCACCTAACCTAACACACTCTGTATAACTTTGTTCACGACTATGATAGCAATTCGAGATAAGTAAAGTATTATCTAGTATAGTCAAGTAAAACTGGGTAATTGTGACAACCCAGCAGGAGCCAGCCGTTGGCGTTTGAAAAGCCCCGAAGCGGCAGGCGCACCCGCCACCCGGATGGCTCAGATCCACCGGTTCCGCGGGTTCCCGACATCCCAACCGTCCTTGCCACTCCGCTCCGTGCCTCTTCCTCTCTCACCCAACCTCGTTGGCCTCCGCTCCGAAATTTAAAACCTCCCAAGCAGAGCCAAGCCCGGAGAAGCCAAGACCCCTCTTTTCCCCTTTATTAATAAAAATTCGGTGGAAAAAAAGCCTTCGCTTTTGGTCTGCGCGATTCGGGATTCCGGAGCACCGCGGCGGCGGCCGGATCGGGGTGGCGGCGCGGTTCGGTCGCCGCTGGAGCGGAGCGGATGCTCCGCGCCCCCTGTGAGGTGAGACTTCTTTTATGCGCTCCCCCTCTCGCCTGCCCTGCTGCCTCGATCCGGTTGCGCGCCCAAGGCCCACCGGCGGCGCAGCGCGGCGCGGCGTTCTGATACCTGGCTTCGCGCTCGGCGCGGCAGCGGAAGGGGTGGCGTGGTTGGGGTGACCGACGCGTTCATTCTGGAGCCGCTCTAGAGTAAGCGGCCGTGGCGATGGATTTGTCGTGGCGGATTTGTGGGTGGGCGTGGCGTTGCGCAATGGTGATAGCGCCGGCGGTGCGCCAGCAGAGCCTTATAGAGGGATTGATGTCCTCTGAGGACTGGGAGGATGTGGGGGGATTTTGAAAGACTATTTGTTCTTCCTTTGTAGATGTTTATCTTGTTCTCGTCTGTGTTCTAGAATTCTCAAATCTCGCCAATTTTACTCGGATTTGTTAATTTCTCACTGCAAAAAGTTCATGTCTTGTGGTTAACTTTGAGTGCATGTCTCTTTTGGCAAAATCATGATGCGCCATCATATCTTCATAATTGTGTATTTCTGTAACTATTTGTTTAAATTATTTGATTTTGTTCCTTTTTTCCCTCTTGACAGACTGTGACCACTTCTCCCCCCAGCGAAAAAAACTCCTAGAAGACCTTAGGGGGGTTTAACATTGGGATGAATCTTTGGGCCCTTACCTTGCTTTTAAGTGGAGATTCAGTTTTCTGTTTTCACTTATGATGACGAGTGAAAAGCAAATGACTTCGAAGGGCACAGAGTCTTCATCTTCTTCTGTTCCTCCTGATGGAGGAGTCAGCAGGGAACCTCAAAAAGGGGGGAGATTACCCAATGGGTGAATTTCTATCCGTTTATTAGAACCACTCATCAGGTTTTACATTATGCATATTCCTCCTTAATTCTTATATATACATGTATATTTATCTCCTGCTTCAGGAGGACAACTGGTCCAGCACGTCGCTCATCCAAGGGAAATTGGACTCCAGAAGAGGTAAAGTTGGCACTCTGGTTTCCTAAATATGTTAATAGCATGCATTTTCAATAAAGCATTTGAATAATGAGGTAAATAACCTGTCTTAGGTAGCTTAGAGGAATGCTCTGCTAAACGCCCATTCTCAATAAGATAACCTTTTTCTCTACATAGTGAAGATAAATATCATACAGATATATAACTTTTCACCATACATTTCTTCTACTGTAGTTGATACTATAGTTGATAATAGACAGGGATTACTGTTCTGATTCTCTTGCTGCATTTATTTTCATTTGCAACAAACATTACATACAGTAACACTGTTCAGTGACATGCCTTGCGAGCGGTAGAGTCTTACCGTCTGTGACCGGAAGGTCCCGGGTTCGAGTCGCGGTCTTCTCGCATTGCACAGGCGAGGGTAAGGCTTGTCACTGACACCCTTCCCCAGACCCCGTACAGAGCGGGAGCTCTTTGCACTGGGTACGCCCTTTAATGTTCTTTTTATATGCTAAGCATTTCATCATGAAACCGTGTTGAAGATGGCCTTATATGTGCTTAGACCATATTTTGCCTATCTACTGGTGTGGTCTGATGGGCACATATGCTACTCAATTGTAGGATGACATACTTCGCGAAGCTGTTGAAACTTACAAGGGAAAAAATTGGAAAAAGATAGGTACTTTCTTTAGCTGATACAAAGTTGATATGTTGTCTTTTCTCAATTTGTGTAGCACAGGCTGTTAATTTCTTTTTGAAGCATCATATATCCAAATTTAAACTGACCATATACAGTGACACTTCACTTATTTTGCTAACATGCATCTTGTTTGCTTGCGATTTGCATTACAAATCCTGATCTTAAAAAATGGAGTGTTGTATTATGGAATGTAGTACCACCTTTTTTTTTAGAACTGTCAACTTAGTTTGATGACAAAAGGGTACCACAGAAGCTAAAAGGTAAGTTTTATAGAACGGCGATTAGACCTGCTATGTTGTATGGTGCAGAATGTTGGCCTACGAAAAGACGACATGTTCAATAGATAAGTGTCGCGGAAATGCGTATGTTGCGTTGGATTTGCGGTCATACAAGAAGGGATCGAGTTCGGAACGATGATACACGTGATAGATTAGGGGTAGCACCAATTGAAGAAAAGCTTGTCCAACACCGGTTGAGATGGTTTGGACATGTCCAACGGAGACCTCCAGAGGCACCGGTGTGTAGTGAAATCCTAAGCCAGGATAGTAACGTGAAGAGAGGCAGAGGAAGACCGAAGTTGACTTGGGTAGAGGTAATAAAAGGAGACTTGAAAGGATGGAATATACCCAAAGACTTAGCCTTCGATAGGAGTGTTTGGAAAACAACTATTCACGTGCCTGAACCTTGATTGCTTCTGCTGGGTTTCAACTCTAGCCTACCCCAACTTATTTGGGACTTAAAGGCTTTGTTGTTGTTGTTGTTGTCAACTTAGTTTGATGCGCTAGCTCGAAGCTAGCACTTTAGCGCCCGTCTTGTTAATGTTTATAGTGTAATAATTTGAATATGTGATATAAAGAATTGCCCCTGATGCTCATAAATTGTGTACATGATACATACCTTTATTTTTATTTCGCTGTTATTGCATAACTCCGTTTTACCGCGGATATACTTCAAGAAATTGACATCAGGTGCACACATCATTCTTTGAATTTTGTGGTTGTATCATTTCTGCTCATGCCAATGACTGTACTGCATCCTTAATTGCTTACAATAATGTGACTCAAACTCAATTTTCATGCTACTATTCCATCCTTTTCCCCTTGCTTGTCAATGAGAATCTTTATCTGAAACTAATGCTTGATAAACTACTTTCTTTCCCCCAGCTGAATCTTTTCCAGGTAGGACTGATGTTCAATGTTTGCATAGGTGGCAGAAGGTTTTGAACCCTGAACTTGTTAAAGGGCCATGGTCCAAAGGAGTAAGTTCTACAGTTTTCCATTTGGGGTTTATTTCACTTTTCTTAAAACAAACTAATCCCATTTATGTTATGTTACTGCATTATATTACATGCTGCATGATTCTTTTATTATTTTCTTTTTTCCCAGGAAGATGAGATCATTATTCAGATGGTAAACAAACATGGGCCAAAGAAATGGTCGACCATAGCCCAAGCTCTTCCTGGACGTATTGGAAAGCAATGTCGGGAAAGGTATGCCATGAAAGATACTTGTAGTAGTGTTACATGATGATATCAGGTGCTGGGGAAATATTTATTAATTTGTGGTTTGGCTTCTATGGAAAATAGGAGTCATGATTTTGGGCATTTGATCAGAGTACCACACTAACTAGAGGCAACTTTCCTACTTCAAAATTACAAATACAATACTAAGTGTAGCTATTGTTTTCCACTCTTCTCGTGATGATTACTATGCAGATAAATTCTCTGAAGCCTGAACAGTAACCAATGAAATATATTCATTTGCATATACACTACTCATTTATGTGCAATTACTCTTGAAAATGCATGGCAATTGATTTGAGAAAAGGTTTCATGTATCAAATATCATGAAATGGCATGCCTAGAATTGGTTTCTCCGTGGGCTTGGTTTGGGGCATATGTAATGCAAATTGTTAGTTAGCTGCAAACATGCAAACCATATTAATTTGGAGATAAATACTGATGTGAAACATTTTGATGTGACATCTTCATTTAGATGGCACAACCATCTTAATCCTGGGATCAATAAGGACGCATGGACACAAGACGAGGAAATCAGGCTCATCCATGCTCATCAAACTTATGGAAACAAATGGGCTGACTTGACAAAGTTTTTACCAGGAAGGTACAGATTCTTTCCCCAGCTTCTTTTAAACTAGCAAGAGTAATAGATAATGTCAAATGGAAAAAACATAATATTCTATGCATTAGTGATACTCCATTGCAGTATGACATATATATCGCATTGTAACATCCTGATATATTATTCGGTTACTAATTAAAAAGTGCATCACTAAATCAGCCTGTTAGAGAATATTGAACTATATTAGAATACATAGAAATTGATGAGTAAGTTTGTATATTATCCTATCAGGACAGACAATGCAATTAAAAATCATTGGCACAGCTCGGTGAAGAAGAAAGTTGATTCATACAGATCATCTGGTTTACTGGCTCAATTCCAGGGTCTCACACCTGTTGAATACACTCCTGGTGGTTTAAATGTTGATTCTTCATCTGCCATGACCAATCAAATTAGCGAAGACAGTGGTTTTAATGTTTTTCGGGAGGCTGAAGATTCAATGGAGTTAAGTCAATCATCGTTTGCCAAGGGTTCTTGCTCTCAGGAGGAGCAAACTGATGTGACTTTGGGATCTCATTTGCATGTGCATGAATCTTTGTGTCAAGATGGTTTCACTAATGCTGAGAATGGTGCTTCTGCTTTACCTGACATGCATCACCACTTATCCACTTCTGACATGGATCAAGATAAACACTTGCAGGAAGGAATAGATTTGGATAAACACTTGCAGCAAGAGTTTTCTCAAGGAATAGATTTGCATCTTGATATAGATGAAGTGCCAAACAACTTTGTGATAAGAGATAGCCAGGCATCCAATGAGCTTGCAGTTCAATTTCAGGACACACAGATTATGAATAGTTCAGAAAATGATGGAGTATCTTTGATACCATATGCTGTAACACCATGTGTTCCCATCTTACCTAGTGTTTCTGGATGTGACCATAACATAAATGTGATGTCCGAAGTGGGCATTAAAAATGATAATTGTTTCCAATCTGAAAAGTGGCAGGATATTTCCATTCAATCAGGTGCATATTCTTCTGAAGCTGCAAGCAACTTTTCAGCACCACTTTACCCATTGCAGACAGCTGAACCAGCAACAATGATAGGTGGCCCTGTGTATTATCAGAGTTTTGTAACGTCATTACCACCGGGCTTCATTTCTTCAGATGGTGCTTCTAATGCATCTGGTGTCCAATTTGAGACAAGTCACAATCCTGTTTCTCGCCAAGATTTGGAGATTAAAACTTGCCACAATCCTTCCAGTGATCCTGATCAAAATTCATATATTAGCAGCGAAGATGACAGAAACAGGACTGCTGAACCAATGGACAGCATACCAGAATCTGAAAAGAAACAGCAGGTTGACGTTGAACAATCATGTTTGGAGCCTGCAGCCTACAGTGGAAAGGAACCATTATCAAGTCATGGTGACACCATATTAAGTGAAAAGGAGGATGCTGGAGCTCTATGCTATGAACCTCCTTGCTTTCCGAGTTTTGAAGTTCCCTTTGTCAGCTGTGAGCTTGTAAACTCCAGCGATCTCCCAGAATATAGTCCTCTTGGCATTCGAGAGTTGATGAGGGCATCCTTGAACTTCCCTACCCCAGTAAGATTGTGGGGCTCCCCTCCTAGGGATGGTAGTCCTGATGCTGTGCTAAAGAATGCTGTCAAAAGATTCGTGTGCACCCCGTCCATAATGAAAAAAAGGCCTAGAGACCTATCATCTCCTGGTCCTGATATAAGAAACGGAAAGAAATCAAATACTGAAAAGGATTGTAGGAGCTCAGGCATGTCCTCTACAAGAGTTGGGAAATCTTGCATGGATAGCCCTGATGATTCAGCTGATTTAGTTTCACCAAAAGAGAGAACTGCATTTCAAAAGAAGCTCAAGCTTTCTCACGAAAACAAAGAAAATTTGAATGAAATTACTGATCAAGGAGAAAATGAAGGCAATGCAAAGGTAAACAATTTGGCTTAAGCCAAGGGATGTTTCACTGTGGACAGTGATTATACGAACAGTTTACTAGTACTTTCAATCTACTACTAGTTATTTTTTATACTCAATAATTATTTATTCATGGATTAAAAAAAACTAAAAATCTTTGGCTCGAGGAGTGGTGGATCTCCTTTATTGGAAGTGCACATTGCCTATCAATAACGATGTAGCAGAGAAACTAGAAATGTAACAGATCATATAAGGCCTGTGGGGGGATCTTGATGCTTGTATGAAGGGTGGGCTGGTGGCAAAAGTTCACTTATTAGTAATAAAGTTTATATAATGAAATGCAATTAATCTTACTTTTGAAATATAATTTGTATTGTGCCTTTGCGCGTTTCTTATCTTGTTCCTCTATATATGGTCTGGTCCAGCATTCTACAGGGATTCTTACTCAGAGCAGTGTCGACAACCACAATACACCTAAGCATGGTCCAAATTTTCAAAGTCAGGGGCTAAATACCAGTGCGCAGGCTTTGTCTAACTCTAAAGACATAATATTTTCTAGATCAAAGCCATCAGAGCTTCTTGTTGATAAATCTGCAGCCTGCATTGATGCAGATTACGAGTATGTGAACATGTAAGTTGGATGCTCTTCTACGCTTTACTTAGTGAGAAATTTCCATGCAAGTTTGTTTCACAAATCCTGAAGCTGTGCTGTTAGTATATATAGCTGGTAGTGGTTCTCCCCAGTAGAGCAAAAACTGCTTGGTACTTTTTCTCCAAAATTTATACAAAGTGCACTGAGTTGGGAGAATATTCACCGACTTAAATAGAGCCACATTACTGGTATGGTACTTCATGGTTTTAAGACAAATCAAGTCACAATTACATCATGATCGAGTCAGCTATTAATTACGGTATGATACTCTTTTAAAATGCTGTCCTTAAGATCTTCTCAGATTTCATTTGTCAAGGGCGTTGGTGCTCAAGGTAGCTGGCCCTCGACTACGAAGCTCGTAGCTTGGGTTGGTAATGGCGTGGGGTTTATCCCCTGGACGCCCTATGCTGAAGGGGATGAGATTAAGATGAAGGGGATGAGATTAAGAGAGAACAGGGAGATTAGGAATAGGTTTGTTCTTGCTTGATTCAATCTCAGCATGTTACATGATATAAATAGGAGTCTGGCTCCTTGATAACTGCGCAGCCATAACTACTAATCCCCAACCAACTCCTAAATGCCATTGATCACAGCCGCCTGGCCTCCTCGGGCTCCTGCTTTGCAGCTAGTTGCGCATGCACCTCCCTGGGTATTTAGGAGTTGATTAACTGCAATGCTCCTTAACTGCCATTGATTACCGTCTAAGCCTGCTCCTCCTTGGGTGTGCCCCTGGCAGCATCTCGAGCCCTGGGCCGATGTTGGTACTGTCGGTCTCACATGACATCATTATTTTCATTTCAACTATAACTGGTTGATCTGTGGTTAATTTAATGATGGTACAGATCAAATGTTAGAATTCGTCCAGTCAATGATACTTAGTATTAGTTTCTGTAAAAGCGTTGCAATTGTAGACAACCAGAAGAGGAACACCGCCGCCCCGAGGGCCTCCACGACGCCCGTGCCGCCGTCGCCCCCCCCCCTGCGAGGGCCTCCATGACGCCCGCGTCACCGCCGCCCCCAAGGGCCTCCCCGAGCCCGCGCCGCCGCCGCCCCCAAGGTCCTCCCCCGAGCCCGCGCCGCCGCCATATGGTGGAAGCTTGCCAAGTTTGAGCGCCTTCCTCCCCTTCGCCGGCGAGCATGGCTCCACTTGATCGGCCGGTGAACGCCTGGTAGACATGGGGTCCTCCTCGGACCTGGCCGCACTCCTGGATTTCGATCGGGGTTTGGAGTTCCAGGATGGCATACATCAACGTCTCAAATCACCGGTTCACCACCCCTTTCCCTCCCCTGATGGCTCTTTCTTCCCCTTTCGTCACTTTTCAAGATTCTGTTTAAGCTTGACGGAGAGATTCTGTGGGCATTGCTTTGCAATCATGCCCGGTGGTCGTGCATCGGTTTCCATGTTCGGTTCTTAAGCACGAACCATTTTCGCTTTTCGCTTTTCTCCAAAAGTGTGGGATTTGAGATCTATAAACTTCGGCGTGTCATCACGTCCATGTTTGATGCCTATTTCCATCTCTGGAACAATGGTACCCCGCATTGGGAACGTGAAAAGCGAGCCTGGGAGATCGAACAGGAGAAAGAATGGACTGAAGTCCTCTCGAAATCTTCCAAGCGTGAGGCAAAAAAGTTGGAAAAGGCTCAGAAACATGTCCATTTTGCCAAGAAGATTGTTCAGTCTCCTTCGAAAGTGAAATTTCAGCCCCACATTTCTCTTGCTTTTGGATCTTTCACCAGTCGTGTTGATCCTTAGCTTTCTGCTAGCCGGAAATTGGTGTTTGGAAATCATTCCTCTCTTTCATCAGCCTCTGGATCTCGGCGTGAGAACGTGCAGCCGATCATCACGGCGAGTTCCCCGGCGGGCTCTTCTCACCCTGATTCAAATTCGAATCCTAATGCTTGGGCCCAACCTAAGTGCTCCAAGTTCCTGGGCTTGGGCCACAGCCGCAGTGCTTGCAACTTCCCAGTACGGTGCCGGCTTTGTTTAAACTCCGGCCATCTCATGAGGTTTTGTCATTCCAAGATCCGGACCACCAAAGCGCGTCCGATTCTCATCTAGAGACCCAAGCCCAAGTCCCTGGACTCTCTAGCTGCCCAGAAGGAGCATGTAACGCAGGCCAAGCCAAACTTAATTTGGAAACCCAAAATTCTGTTGCAATCAACTCTGGAGACTTCGCCTGTAAACATATTACCTGGCCGTAACAATTGCCTCGATTCTCGTGACAGAACACCTGACCCTTCACCTTCCCGCATTAGTGAACCTCAACTCCAATCTAATTTGCCCACGCATCCGCCACCCCCTCCTTCATCCTCCACTGAAAATCCCAATCCCCATTGCATAGTTGAAGAAGTTGATGAGGAAGACGAGGAAGCGGAGCTAGTATCCATGGCTAACTTTCCGGTTGATCCCACTCCATACCTCGTCGCTGGTCTCACCATCGAGCATGGCTGGAACCGTCGGCGAGAGGCCGTGTCGCCCTGGGCGGCGAGCCGACGCGTGAGCATGAGGACTACGCCATCGTCTCTGTCGAGCCGATGCCAGCAGAGGCGAACCAGCTCAGGCCAATGCTCACCATGGTGCTGCACTTTCTGGAGAACACTCAAAGGGTGCGTATCATCTCAGATCACCTCTCCCCTCTTGGCTTAGGGCTCATCAGGCTAGCCTCAGTTCTTCAGAGGGATCAGCTTGTGCGCAACAGTCCAATGCATTTCAACAACCATGTCGTGCGTGTTGTGAACCATGATGAAGTCATCAATAGTAGATTCTGCTCCTATACTAGATTAGCTTAGTTCATGTTCCTTGCCTTCCCACTTGATTTTCAGAAAGATGTTTTTGTCAAAGCTGTAGTAGCACCTTATGGACGTGTGCTTGCCTGGTATACCAATGACAATAAATCTAGACTCCTGGCTCGTGTTCTCCTGCTCAGTCCGAACAGAATTCCTCGCAGTCTTGTTGTGTCCAGAGGATCAATCATGGGTGGCTTAGGCAGATCATGGTTAGTGCCAGTGTATATCTTGAATGGGAACTTCCCAGATGTATTCCAAAGCGAAGAGGATCCAGTCCCATTCGACGGCGAGCCTCACCCAGAGTTTGGACCACCTGTCATGGGAGCCAACCCGGTGTTCCCAAACTGGGAAGGTGAGCATCAAGGTGCAGACGTTGCTCATGGAGCGCACGGAGGCAATCCACACCCTAACCCGGTTCAGCAGGCAGTCCATCCTCAACATGGTGATGTTGCACCGACCACCTGTCATGGCTGGCTAGCTTGGGAGCCAGCAAACATTAATGTCAACCCCAATGCAGTTTAGCAGCAGCAACCGGTAGAGGGGAATGCGATTGCGGTAGCACAGGGTCAGCCCCTGCACCACCCACTAAATCCTCAAGATGTCATCAACTTGGAGCTCTCTGGTTCATCTCGGAGGTTCATGCGTGGAGAAGGGTCTGACATTCCAATTGACGTCACTGTTAACCGCGATGATTATAATTTCTCGTCAAGTGATGCAACCTCACTATTGTCAGAGCACATGGTTGCAAATAGGGGTTGCTCTGGCCACCTCAGGCCCATCCCTGGTTTCACCCTCAGGGGCATTTTTGCTCCTGGTGCTAGCAGCTCTAGTCAAGGCCAGCAGCAGATGCAAGCCCTAGACTTTTTCAAGCCAATTGTCACTGACACCTCCACTCTGTTTGCAAACCAAGAGAAGGTTCACATCCCCAATGGAATGGAAATTGTGCCGTGGAAGCCTACTGGAGCAGCGCTGGCACTGCAGTTTGTTTGCGGGAGCGTTGAATATCAAGGGACAGAGGATCATGATCAGCAGGGATCCCTCCAGAGCTCGGCTACAACCTTACTCGACGCTCAGGCATCCTGGCCCAGCCCAATCACTCGAGTTTACAAGAGGCGTCCTAAGCCCAAGAATGGCAACATGTTGGGGCACAAAGAAGATAAGGACGTAGAGCAACTGCATGAGCAAGCGATGAAGCAAAGCCCAACCGGCTCTAGCCCAGGAAATTTTGAATTTGAAGGTACCCAAGCTCAGCCCAGCCCACCAACCAGTGTAGGCCAACAGGCAAAACGAGGCCGCAGCCGGAAGACACTGTCTCTGCCCGCCTCTGGCAACTCATCCACGCCTTTGGTTGAAAGCTCAGTTAGACGCAGCACCAGACTAAACAATGCAAAGGAAGGATTCCACTTCCGCACAGTCAGACTTGATGGAGAGCCATCAAAGAAGAGAAAGAAACCTGCAGTGGTCTTAATTGATGAAGCTACAGGGCAAGTTGGGCCAATCCCGCTGGAGATCCTCCAGAGTTGGGGAATAGATTGTGGAATAGCTCCTGCGGAGCTTTCTGAAGACGCGCTTATGCAAGCGCCTGCTTCTTCCAGCACTGTTATCAATGAATAGTCGCTTTAGTCTCTACACTGGAGTTGCGTCTCCCTCTACCTTTTGTTGGGTCATTTGTGTCTCAAACTTTAAGTTGCTTAATCTGCATTGTGATGTCGAACCTGTTAAACCTTGTGATCGTTTATCCCATCAACAGTTGAGTTATTGCTCACTGTCTTATGCCCAATCCTACTGCTGCATCATAGCTATGTGTTATCTGCGTGTGCTGGCCATCGCAATTCTGTCATATAATCATCCTTGTTTCAATGAGTAGTAGAAGCTGGCAAATTCTATGTTGGAACATAAGAGGTATCAATGCAACTGGTAAGTGGGACGCAGTACGAGATAAGATTGAAGAAAGTGTGTGCTCAATCTTTTGCCTCCAGGAGACGAAAAAAGAACATTTTGATCATGCTTTCATCAGAAAACTTGCTCCCAAGTGTTTTGATTCTTTTGATTTTGTGCCTTCGATGGGGGCTTCGGGTGGCTCTAGTGGGCTGGAATAGCTCTATTTTCAGAGGGCATGTCCTTGACAAAAAGCAGTTTGGCATCACCCTCTCTTTCACCTCAGTACATAACATGGACACCTGGCGTCTCACCACGGTCTATGGACCTTGCGCCGAACCAGATAGGTCAGAATTTATCAATTGGTTCAGGGGCCATCTTATCACAGATTCGGATAACTGGCTCTTCCTTAGTGACTTCAATTTCTATAGATCCCTCTAGAACCGCAACAAGCCGGGAGGAAACCTATCTGATACCCTGATCTTCAATGATGCTATTGGACATCTTGGCTTAATTGAACTTCAATTGAAAGGGAGGGCCTTCACCTGGAGTAATATGCAGCAAGACCCTCTCCTAGAGCAGCTTGACTGGTTTTTTACTTTGCCAAACTGGACACTCGACTATCCTAATACTGAAGTTCTACCGATGGCCAAGATAACCTCTGATCACATCCCTTGCAAAGTGGCAATTGGCACCAACATACCTCGCTCCAACATTTTTCGTTTTGAAAATTTTTGGGTGGAGTATGCAGGTTTTCTTGACACAGTTCAGTATCAGTGGACTATTTCACAGCAGCAGTCATCGGCATCTAGAACTATTTCCTCCAAATTAAAGGCTTTGCGCAGTGCCTTGAAGACCTGGAGCCAAGGACTATCCAACCTATCCCTCTTGATCGCCAACTGTAACAAGGTTATTCTTTTCCTTGATGCTCTAGAAGATAGAAGGTTTCTCTATAATCCAGAACTCAATCTTCGGATCATGATAAAAAATCAGCTCGCTACTCTGCTGCATTATAAGAATGTGTACTGGAGAAAGAGATATACAGTGAATAGAGTTAAGTTTGGGGATGAATGCACCAAATTTTTCCACGCGATGGCAACAATCTCGCATAGGCGAAACTCCATTCCCCAACTCCTCAATGAGCAAGGTCTTTGGGTCCACGACCATGAAGGCAAAGCGGGGCTGCTCTGGAATTCTTTTAGAAAGCACATGGGTGTAACCACCAGCCCGGTCATGATCTTTGATCTGCAGTCGCTCATCACTGCGGTACCTGGTCTAGTGAGTTGGTGTTATCGTTTGAACATGAGGAGATTGATTCTATCGTCAAACGCATGCCAATTGATAAAGCCCCGGGTCCTGACGGTTTTAATGGCATGTTCATGAAAAGGTGTTTGGCAGATTATTAAGCAAGATTTCTATTCCCTTTGTGATGAGTTCTATAATGGCACAGTGAACCTAGAGTGTATCAACAGTTCCTACATCACCGCTGTGCCCAAGACCAGTAACCCAGAGACAGTCAATGACTTTAGGCCAATCTCATTGCTGAATATTAGTCTGAAGTTGTTGACAAAAATCCTGGCGGACAGACTACAGAATGTCATTCTCAAACTCATTCATTGTAACCAATATGGTTTCATTCGTTCGTGTTCCATTCAAGATTGTCTAGCCTGGAGCTTTGAATATATTCACCAATGTCATCACTCAAGAAGGGAGGCTATAATTCTAAAACTGGATTTCGAAAAGGCGTTTGATATAGTTGAGCACTCTACTATCCTACTGATGTTGCAGCATTTGGGCTTCCCAGATAGATAGATATCTTGGATCCACTGTATCTTATCATCGGGATCGTCAGCAATGCTCTTAAACGGTGTCCCGGGCAAATTCTTCAAATGCAAGAGGGGTGTCAGGCAGGGAGATCCACTATCCCCCTTGTTATTTGTCATTGTAGCTGAACTTCTTCAGTATCTCGTCAACAGAGCGTCGGCACTTGCACTACTGACAGCACCCATCCCTTGTGAAAATGGTGAATTCCCCATAGTTCAGTATGCCGACGATACCCTCCTCATCCTTCAGGCTGATGCACGTCAATTGTTCTTCCTGAAAGCATTACTCAACAGCTTTGAGGCTGCTTCGGGTCTCAGGGTCAACTACAACAAGTCACAGATCCTACCAATTAATGTCAGCCATGATAGAATGCAGCATCTTGCCAATATGTTTGGCTTTCAGGTGGGATCACTGCCGTTCACATATTTAGGGCTACCGATGGGCACCACCAAGCCATGCATTGAGGACCTTACACCAATCATGGACCGGGTTGAGAAAAGACTGTCAGCATGCTCCATGTGGCTCTCTTATTCAGGTAGACTGCAGATGGTTAATTCAGCTATTACGCCGATAGTCACCTACGTCCCAAAGGGCTTCGTTGACAACATAGACAGGGCCCGTAAGCAGTGTCTCTGGAGGGGAAATGATGACACCACGCGAGGAGGCAACCTTGTGGCGTGGCCGGCTGTCATGAGGCCTAAGGACAAGGGTGGTTTGAATGTGATCAACCTGCGCTTGCAAAATGATGCTCTCCTCTTGAAACAGCTCCACAAGTTTTATAACAAAGTGGATGTTCCATGGGTGAAGCTTGTTTGGAATAAGTATTATGTTGGCAAAGTGCCCCATGAATGCAGAGAAATGGGCTCTTTCTGGTGGTGTGATGTCATGCGTCTCAACAATATCTACAAAGGTGTCGCACGCTGCACATTGGGAGACGGCTCAACAGTTTCTTTTTGGGATGATCTATGGTCAGACTCGATCATGTCTGCTCAATATCCAAGACTCCACTCGTATGCCAGGAACAAGTCTATCTCGGTACAGGAATTATTGATGCATGAAGACCTTGATGACATTTTTGTGCTTCCACTGTCAGCCCAGGCTTATGAGGAGACGATGGATCTACAGAATCACCTTGTCACCTTGGAATATGATGATAGCACCGCAGATTTCTGAACAATGCTATGGGGACCCCAATATTCATCACGGCGGTTCTACAATCATGTCTTCAGTGGCATGGCTTCGACTCCTTACTTCAAGGTACTCTGGAAATCTCAGTGCACACCTCGTGTGAAGTTTTTTGCGTGGCTAGTGTTAATGGACCGACTAAATACGAAGACGATGTTAAGAAGGCACCTGAACATACAAGATGATGTACTCTGTGTTATGTGCAACCAAGGTGCTGATGAAGATATTAATCATCTTTTCTTTACGTGCACGTTTGTGGTTCAGTGTTGGACCTCAATTAACTTCTCCTGGGACGTCTCCCTGCTACTAGCTGAAAGATTGATGAGGGCCAATGAGGTGCATGCTTTGGACTTCTTCGTCGAAGCATCCCTAATTGCAGCATGGGAGCTCTGGAAACTTAGAAACGACAAGATTTTTCAGCGTCGAGACCCAACTCCTTCTCTATGGCTTGTAAATTTCAAGCATCAGTGTAATTTGCAATCCATTAGACTCAGGGAGGACCTTAGGTCTTCCTTTTGCTTTTGGTTAGATGCTTTCAGTTAAAACAGATTTGTAATCTTGACTGTTGCTTAAATTATTTATAAAATCTACTGTGGGGATCTCCGCCACAGTCCTTTGTTTCAAAAAAAAATGATACTTAGTATTGCTAACTTAACTATTGACCCTTGTTTCACTGAGTCAAGAGCTCCTGCCCAGGTTGCTGGCCCTTGGTTTTTAGGCCATGCAATCGCTGGTCGTTTTTTTTTCTTGTAGCCCTGTGATGCAACTCTAACCTATTTCATGGGGTGTTGGTGTGTGTGGTGTTCCTGTACTTGGGTTTGGGTCCTTCACTAGTGTACTCTTTTTTCTACCTTAATGAAATGATGCGCAGCTCTCTTGCGTAGTTCGAGAAAAAAAATTGACACAGTAAAAAAATGCACTATTCCTTTCCAACTATCCTGTGACAATGTCAATTATCCATGATAGTATGAGTACAATCATGATTCTGATTGGCTGTTATTGTCAGATTGGCTGATACTCCAGGTATTAAAAGAGGCTTAGAATCTCCTTCTGCATGGAAGTCTCCTTTCTTCACACCATTCCAGGTAATTATTTTATTTGGAGAGTTTTTGGACTAGGGTTTTGCTTTAGGATTTCCAATTCAAACTATAGTCTGTAGCTCGGGGTTTCATCCAAATATTCTCTTCCTAATCATTGTTAGGCTCAGTTTTCATGGCAAACAAAATGCCAATACTTGTAGGAAAATTTTGGTATCTTCTTTTTTTGGGTGCCTTTTATTCTAGTGATGCTAACTTCATATGGATCAGAGAAAAGACTTGCTTGTCTGGATTATTGACTGTGTGCTTGAAAGTATTATTATTCGCCACATTAAGCAGACTGCTTTATTTTGTTTTGTTCTTTTAGGATGCATACTTCATGAGCCCAGCAAGCAGAGCTTTTGATGCCTTAGGATTGGTGAAGCAGATTAATGAGCAGAGTGCTGCTGCTGTGGAGGAAGCACATGAAGTTCTGGCAAGTGGAAGCCCATGGAAACGACATAACAAGGAAAACTCTGACAAAGAAAATATAGAAAATACAGCTTTGAAGCATGAACATGTAACAAGCAAACCTCCATCCATACTCATGGTATGTAAAGCTTCGTACTGATACTCCCTATTTCTCATTATGGCCAAATAAAAATTCTCACAATACACCATTGGTTAGAAGTTAGAACCTATTCATCTGAGCCTTAAACTTATCTGAACCTTGAATTTTCTCTTGTTCAAAATCATAACATACAACATCCTGTAATTATCTGAAACCCATGAACCTCCTATAAATTATTTGTCTTCTCGTGTTTTCCTTGTATTCCTTTATTTTCACATCCTGTATTTGAATACAACATCTCAATACTTTGATGGTTGCATCCAAATCTCTGAGTTGAGGTTCAGAGGTATGGAGCAACCAAGGCACTTCATTCTGCAACCACTGACTTTTCTTTTTAGAAAAGCGAATCTTTATTCCTATCTCTACATGAGTTATGCACTCAGCCTAGTTCCAGTCTCTGGCTGTTTGAAATAAGCAACAAGGATTATGGATGCTAATGCAAACTCCAGTGGCAATAATCTAATCTTGGACATGGATCAATTAGTTCAGTTGGCTAATTAATGTGGCTTATGATACCTGAACTTATGTGGAACATGAATGAAATTGAGATTCTGGGGAAATGGAAAACCATGTGGCTTGTGAGAGTTCATGGATTTCCCTTTGATTGGGAAGCATATAAGTAACTGATTGAAACCGAATGCTCAATCTCAACCAGGGGGCATCTCTTCTGTTTATATTAAAAAACTTTTCAATTTATTCTGCAGGCAGAGGCACGGGTGCTCGATTTCAATGAATGCTCCACACCTGTGAGGAAGAAAGAAGATAAGAAATTGGAAATAGCTTTAGGAGGATCTGCAAGCTCCCCTGTTACTTCCTCGTATCTTCAGATGAATGTGCAGTAGCTCTTTGAGGGATGCTGTTGTTCAGGATGTACATGTCTGTTGTTCCCATAAATTCCACCGTTTTGAAATACACATTCCAATTAGTACCTTATTCTTTGTGCTTTGGCACCCCAAATGTCAATTATAAAACGAAACATTTTTTTTTGCAATGTTAAGATTTGTCATGTGTCACTTGAATTAAGTTATATCGTAAATAAGGCAATATATTTAAATTCTGTCTATATTATGAAATCTTCTTCTCATAGTTGTGTACTAGCGTTGGTTAGATGTATATGTAATTATGTATGCCTGCTCTCCAAAGGTGAGTTAGGCTATTGGAAAGCAAATAACAACTCATATAAATTAAGGAGATGTACACTAGAGAACATCAAATTAGAAAAATAGAAGGCACCTTGTAACTTGTAAGGTTGGACAATGTTACCGAACAGTGTAATATAGCTGGCAGTTGGTTGCTTCCAGTAATGGTTGGCAGAATGGAATATGCTTCATATTGTTACTAACCTTGGACAAATCAAAGATGATCACTCCATTAGTGAAGATGACATTATATAGAGAGCCTCATGTGCCATATGGGCCTATAATATAGACCTTGATATACACTTAATACCCCCTTCAAACTCAAGTTGAAAGCAGATGATCTGAATCATTGCGCTTGAGCAAGTCAAGTCAATGCTACTCTCAGGTTTGTGCTTTTAGTGGAAAAATCTGCCACTTGCAGTTTTGAGGGAACATACTGAAGAACAATTGTTTTATCATGACAATAAGAGTGAGTAAAGAAGGCTTCAACACCAATATGCTAAGTTCTTGTTTCGTAGGAGCATTAGTGATATACATGGCTCTAGTATTATGACATAGATGAGGCATGGGGGCATCACAAGAAATACCAAAATTAGCTAACAACTATCGAGGCCATACAATCTCTATAGTGGTAGTAGTAAGTGCTCGAAGTTCTGCCTCTATACTAGAACGAGATACAATTGCTTGTTTCTTGGACTTCCATGCGACAGAAGAAGAACCAAGAAGAATGCAATAGCCTATGATGGAGCAGACATCCATGAGATCACTTGCCCAAGTAGAGTCCGAGTAAGCATGAGTTGAAACAAACTATCATAAGTATAGAGCAAACACTGAAATGATGTCACCAATACAAATCAAATGGCCAAAATGAACATAAGTAGGAGCATAGAGCACTCACAAACTGACTTAAAATATGAATTGCGTGAGCAATATTAGGTCCAGTAATAGTAAGGCCAACTAGGCTGCCCACAATATGCCAATATCGACAAGGATTGTAACACCCCAGGTGTTTGTCACCAGTTAAGCAATGGGTTTGAGCTCAAACATGACATGTCAAGTGGTAATGAAGGTGTCAAGATTAAATCTACATGATGGAGCTCCAACTTAAACTTGGGCCACGCACATTTGCTTACATATGGACCCTTGTTAAGATTATGCAAGAGTAATGTTAAACATGCTTATTCCATGTATATTACATCCCCATGCATCCATCTAGACCCGTGGAAAAGTTTCATGAAGTTTGGAATCAAAAAGTCACATGAAATGATAAGTCATATCTTTGCATGAATTGCTTTATCAAGTGGATGGAAACCTATGAAGTCAACCAAACCTTGGTACCTTGCTCAAACAACTCTACTTGCACTCATGAACAAAAGTTATGAAGGGTTCATATTGAGCAGGTGGCCAGAAAATGCTCCAATGGATCAAAAATGATAATTTAAGCTTCATCGTGATCCTACTTTGGTCAAAGTAGAACAGTAGGTTCTATACCAGTTTTGAGGTTGGACCTTAAATGAAAGTTGTAGTCCATATCATGTAGAACAAACTTTGTTTTTGGAACAAGAGCCAGATCAACTTGGAACTAAGTCATACAGAGGCTCGAAAATTGAATCAGCGGCTGTTTTCAGACTTAGAATTTTTCTAAGTCTGGAATTCATCGTCGTCGCCATTGGCATTCCGCGTTCTCGTGTTTTCGTTAAGCAACTTGACTTGACCCCAAAATAGAAGTTGGAGCTAATTCATTGGAGAAGATCATACAAAAGGTTGGGATCAGTTTGACCATGTTTGGACCAAGTAGTTCGACTTCAAGCAGAGCGACACTTAACCCTTGTTAAGTCACTGACAGTGTCAACTTGAGGCTTGATTACCTACTAATCCGAGAGTTTAATGTCTATGCACCCTTAATAAAAGTTGGAGAGCAGCTTGTGCACAACAACTTTGCTACAGGCGCAAAGGTCCGAATGTGCACGGAATATGCCGAAAACGGACTCCAAGTCGGGCTCCATCGCGCGCGCCACGTGTTCGACGAAATGGCATCATGGCAGCCATGCACCGGAGCGCGCCCCCCATGGCCGACGCGCGTTCAAGCTCTGTGCCACGCGCCGCCTCGCGCCCTGCTGCTCCAAAACCGAGCGCCTGTGTGTCTCCTTGCCTCCCTCACTCGCTTCCGCCCACCTTGGCGCTCTTCCTCCGCGCGCACGCACGCCAGAGCATGGCCTCCATGGATGCCACCGCCGAGCTCGCTGCCGCCAGCGCTGCTGCGGTCCCTTGGCCTCGCGATGCCCAGCTACACACTCGTTACCGTCCACCGCCCTCTCCTTAGCCTTGCGAGCCCCTCCCCGGCCCTTCTTCGCCGTCGTAGCGCCGTCGCCGCCGGAGCAGCCACCAGCGCTCCGCCTGCTCGCGTGGCCGGGCCAACTCGGGCCGCCTCGGGCCGAGCTGAGCCATCCCACGGGTGCGCGTGGTTCCCGTGATTCTCGCTGCCCTTCTCCGCCGGCACCGGTGTCGTTCCTGCCGGCCAAAGCCACGAGTCCGGCCATCCTCTGCTCTGGTTTCCGACCAGGGACTTCGCGCTCGAATTCGTGAAAAGGGAGGGTTCTTTCTACGAAGTTGTGACACATGTGAATAGTGCTCAGGAGGACCTCTTCGCTGATGTTTGATTTATATTTTCCGTAGGGACCCCGATGCAAGATTTTAATCCCCTTTTCTCTGGTTTTTACAGATTTGAATGCTCCACATTGAAAATTCGTAGTAATTTGTAGAAAAATCGTAAAATAGTAAATGAGGACTTTTTGGAATCCTTGTAAAATTTTCTATGTACTAGATCTATAATATTACATGTTTAAGTTTAAATAATTTGCTGTAAAAATAGATTTAGGCAGTTAGGTTCTTAATGCTAGTCATGTCTTGTCCTTTTTATAACTGCAGTTATTTTACTCAAATAAATGTAAAATTTTTATGGAGTGTTAATGATGTGATTAGTGATGTCTGGTAAAAATTTCAGTATTTTAGGCTTGATAGTTTAAGATCTATAAAAATAACAAATTACCTGTATTGCCTTACCCCTATTCTGAATAGGCCTGCAAGATTAAATTAATTGGCTTAGTTAGGTTATGAATCATGACTTTGTGATAATACATGAGTTGTAGTACTTTTATTAAGATTTTCAAAAAGCAAAATATCATGATTTTTGGTTAAGTAGATCTTGAGTTATATTTGCTTATATATCAGTGGCTGTTTCTGCCCAAACTCTGACAGGGTTACCTTGTTGGTATTGTGGGGCCTTCTTAATAGTAGAATTAGCTTTAGGTGTTTACAACAAAGTTATTTAGAATTTGATAATATTTCTAAAAAGTCTAGAACCACATTTATTGGACATATATAACTCTATTTATAGCTGTTTAAAGTGGCATGCCAGTTTCTGTCTATATTTTGGACAGAGATGCAATTATTGGATTAATTGACTATTCTAACTGTAGAATCATCTTAATATGAGAATAATAAAGTTGTAGGTAACTTCCTAAGATTTTCAAAAAGTTATGGTTCATGTTTGTTGGAGGTCTAGAACTCCAGTTATTCTTCTCTGAAGTTCTTATCAGTTTTCTGTACCACTGCTGTTGGGTTGCATTTGCAGTTTTGCTTGTGCAATTATTTTCGTGGTGTAAATGATGTTTGCTATGGTTGTAGTGAATACAAAAGTTGTAGAAAATTTCATGATCTTGCTTGTGTTCAAATTGTAAGGCCATAGGCCTGATAATGTAGGAGTTGCATGACTTTTAAGTCTTCTGTCAGGTTTTGATTGTATTCTGAGCAGATCTGAAAGATGCTAGTGTTTGATCTAGTTAGGGTTTGAATGAGCTTTTGGTGATAATAACAAAGTTGTAGATAATTCATGTATCTAGCTTTTGTTAAAATTTGGTGGTATTTGGTTTTGTGGTTTGTGAGTTATGCCTGTTTAAAGTTGGGTTACAGAATTGATTGCTCTCTGTCAATTGTGGACCAGTTTTTGTAAATGGGTATATTTGACTTAGTTAACTTGAGAATCATGCTAAGATGATTAAATATGAATTGTAGAAAATTCCATAATCTTTCCAGAATGTCTTGTTTCATGGCTATTGGATTTATATAACTCTAGTTATGATCCAAACATGAAGCTGTTGTTCCAGTCCAGAAATAGACATATGCTGGTTGTGGTTGTTTACTCCATGTGTGGCTAAGTGTGGCTTATGCCCTTGTTGATGGTCAAGTTATGATACTTGTGACCTTGTAAAACCTGTGTCATGCTTGATGTGCTTGCTCTCTATAGTTAGTTGTGTGATGTGTATTTGCTTAATCACGCGATCTTGGTTGTGATGTTGATTTACCGAGGTCTTTCGGGACACTCGGCGGACTACCGGGTTTATATAAGTGAAAGTATGTGTATGTCAACGTGTTAGCGGGGACAACCGTACTTGATCTTGTATAAATTGGGCGGTTTTGTTACAAGGATCCTCAGAGGTATACCATCAGTAGCACAAAGCTACAAGCGCAAATCCATAGGCATTGCAGTGGTGGGATGACCAACAATGTCCGAACAAGCAATAAGGTCTTGGGTGTATCCCTTGATAGAAGGGAAAACTTCAATATGTAAGACAAAAAGAGAGGACCCAAATCAGACATTTGAGATTGCTCACCAAGCTCTTCTCATGAGGAATGTGTTTGAC